CTCAGAGGCTTACAATTCCTATGCTTAACCACATCACACTGTCTCAGACAAGCATCAAAGAACCAAACTCAATGCCAGGCTTCCCACATGATGAGTGTTTGATTAACTGCAATGACTGGGCAACCCACTGCAATTTCCATGAAGTAGACAGGCTTGTTACATGGGTCTAATACAAATTATGCTACAATTATAATAATCCCTGTCAAAACAGGCCCTGGTCTTCTGATGTAAGATGGTGCTGTACCTAAGAAAAGAGGCAGTAAAATCTTCCAGCAAATAGAGATGATACAAGGACTTTCTATCTGATATTTAGGTTTGTCTGCAAGAGTGTTAACAACATAGTTATTTTTAAATAACCAGCTTTGGATTTAATTTTTCAGAGTTTACCCAGCTCTTTAGCAAAGAATAGCATTAAATACTTCTCACAGAAAATCAACCCTTCCACTGGAAAATTAAGGGGCTGGGACAAAATTCTCCCAGCCCAATCTGTGAATAAACAGGACCCCCCACAGTAGCATTGCTGAACCTTCCATCCCAGAAGCTGGAGTTGGTCCTCCTGGCTCTTGCAATCTTATCCTTTGGAAATGGAGTGTGTAGACAGATTGTGAGGGTCTCTTCTTCTGGGCCCCTCTAGTGCAGTTATAATTTGATGTCTTCAGTTCTCAACATTTGTGGTCACACAAGACGGATAACCATTAGTGTAATTCCCAAATAGGATGCTTGCAAGTACGCATACCTAATCCAGGTCTTTCAGTCACTGGCGTGGGTCTCTTGTGAAAGGCCCCCTAAGCCAATTCTCTTTTGGCACCCACCTCTTAAAGTTAGATTTCACCCAAACCCTGGATCTAACCTGGGAAATTACCCTGGCCCATGGGATGGAACCCTTTGGGCTTGTTGGAGTAATGCACTTGTGGTTAATCAGTTCATTTCTTCTCTGAAAAGCCTGACAGGCCATCATGATGGTGATGCTCCAGTCTTGCTCACTCTCCATTTCTCAAACAAAATGCCATTGTTTGCTGGTGCCCTGTTCTCACTGTTTGGAAACGCACATGGTCTACTTTAACACAAGCTTATCCCAGAATTTCATTCCTAGCCACTAGAGTCCTGTGTATTATTATTATTTTTTATTGTATTTTTATTTTATTTCTTCTTCTTATTTTTTTTCTGAGAGTCTCGCTCTGTCGCCAGGCTGGAGTGCAGTGGTGCAATCTCAGCTCACTGCAACCTCTGCCTCCCGGGTTCAAGCGATTCTCCTGCCTCAGCCTCCCGAGTAGCTGGGACTACAGGCACGCGCCACCATGCCCAGCTAACTTTTGTGTTTTTTAGCAGAGACAGGGTTTCACCATGTTGGCCAGGCTGGCCTTGAACTCCTGACCTCAGGTGATCCACCCGCCTCGGCCTCCCAAAGTGCTGGGATTACAGGCATGAGTCACCACATCCGGCCTAAGGTCCCGTTTCTAAACCTAAAGAAGGCTTAGGATGCAACTTTCTGCCCCAGGGGAAGCTGGTTAACATTACAACACTTTATCAGAAGTGTCTGTTAGTTTTTTGTTTGTTTTTTTGTTTTTAATATCAGACATGTACTTACTTGCTAAAGTTCTGTCAAGATCAGCAATGAAGTCTTCTAGCTCTTTTGTGTCTCCTAATTTGGCTGTGAAACGGTGGGATGGGGAGAGAGAGAGAGTTCAGTTTCCATAACAAAGACAGCTGATGACTTCATATTGAGTTTTCCAGGATGTTGGAACGTCCAGGGTTATAGAATGGATTATTTCTATTTTACATCCACCTCCTTATCTTCAGAGACTTTACTGAAGAGTGTGCTGGGCCAATCCTAAGTGTGTGCTCCAGTGTTTTGATACAGTAAACTCAGAAACTGATTCTGAAGACTAGCCTCAGTGTTTCTTTGTTTTTTAGTTCATCACCACCCTCTCCAACCATCCCACCCCACTCCTCCACCACCTGGAATAGGAATCTTCCTTCACTGTCTTAAATGTTTGCAGGAGAGTGAGGAGCAGGAAGGGAAGATAAAAAGAGTTTGGTTTTTGTATTGTGTAGAATATGAGTTATTAGTCAAAAAATTCAGTAAGCATAGCACCATGCAGAGCGGACACCTAGACTGTGTCATTCCCGCGGCACTAGCCTTCTGATGCATTCATGCTTGTGCTGTCCCCCCAAGGCAACGCTGCAGCCCTCAGAGTCCCTCCAGTATGAAATGAACAAAGAGTTCACTGTTTCTTATCAAAATGGTACCGGGAAGGCACCATGAGGCTTCTGGTTCCAGCACAGCCTCATCCCCTCCAGGTGCCCACACAAGTCCTCATTCTGATTTCGTTCTCTCTAGAGCCTGAGATGTACAGATCTTTTTCATACAGCTGACTTTATTTCTGTAGAGTTCATCACATCATTCACGCCTTCCCTGAAATGCAGTACTGGATAGTTTTATTAATTAACACTGCTGGCTACAAATGGCTAATTGTTCTTAGCTTTTTAAGTCAATTTGCCACTAGGGGCTTTTTTCCGCCTCTTTAATTCCTACCTCTTGAGGATCAGGTAACAAATCTGAGCATGTTTTAAGCCACTTTCTAGACTGCTCTGTCTCTGAATTCAACAGATCCATTACAGACTGAGAGCTGGATAGTGGCAGAATTCCCAGTGGGTGCTAACGTTGCTATGTTGAGAAGGGAATTTTAAAATGCCTCTTTTGAAAAAAGAGCGAAGTCCTGTCTTATTGCCAAAGTGAAAAGAGTGATGGAATTGTCATTTCTTTTTAACTATGTTCCATTTTTATTGCATTCTGCAACTATTTTCAGCAAGTATAACTTTTCTTAAGGAAAAAAACTCCTTTTGTTTTCAAAAAGGCACTTGTCCAATGTAATAGAACATTCAGCTCTCTGGCTGGAGACATTTTACCAGTTCCAAAAAATAAGAAACTGCTCATGCATCTTTAAAGACATTTTAGATCTATTAATACTACAGTAGAGACAGGCTGGAGCTGCTATTTTAAATCATGTTAGATCATAGCTTATCTCATAATGACAACTCCATTTAATTGCTAAATTGGTCATCTGAAACCATTGGTTAAATAATTAACGCAATAAAAAGAATCCTACTATCTGCAAAGGCAAACTGCTGAGTTTTAAATTCTAGAACCAGCAAGTCCGGGAGAAGACTCCTAAGAAACACTGTCAATTTGCACAGTCTTGATTACATCACATGAGAGAGAACAGTCTAGTCTCCAAGTTTTCTTTCTCCCTGTGACTTCAGGTTTTCTGCCCCAAATTATCTGATTTCACGTTCACACTGATTAAAATCCTGAGAAATAAAAAAATTCCACTTTATACTCTACAGTATTAAGATATTAGTCTTACCTGTTTTGTACATTTGAGAAAGATCGTTTAGGGATAAAAGGGACAGAGAAGGGATTGAGAAGGGGAGAGGAATAAAAAAGCAAAAAACTCCAATTCCAACTAATGACCTTACCTTTCTGAGGAGTGACAGCAGGAGAGAGAAGAGCTGGGGTAGAGTCTGTTGGAGAATTCAGTTTTTCATCACTGAAGCTGAAGCTGTTCCTATAAAGTGAATCTGCACCTTTCAGGAAGGAAAATATACTCATGAGAAATAGTACTCATGAGACTATAGACTTATCACTTTATAGTCTATTGATAACCAACAATTTGTCTTCAAAATAAGCCAAAGCTGCAAATCTATAGTAAAGAAAACAGCCAGGCGTGGTGGCTCACGACTGTAATCTCAGCACTTTGGGAGACTGAAGCAGGTGGATCACCAGAGATAAGGAGTTCAAGACCAGCCTGGCCAACATGGTGAAACCCCTCTCTACTAAAAATACAAAACTTAGCCAGGCATGGAGGTGTGCGCCTGCAGCCCCAGCTACTCAGGAGGTTCAGGCAGGAGACTCGCTGGAACCCGGAAGGTGGAGGTTGCAGTGAGCCAAGATCACCACCGCACTCCAGCCTGGGCGACAGAGTGAGACTCTGTCTCAAAAAAAAAGAAAAGAAAACAGGTTGATTTCCAGGTTTTATGTTTATGCCTCCAAAATGATTTGAGACAGGGGAGTGTGTTTGTGTGTGTGTGAGAGTGTTTGTGTGTGAAAGTATGCGTGTGAGTATGAGTGTGTGTGAGGGTGTGTATGAGAGTCTGTGTGAGACAGTGTGTGTCTGAGAGTGTGTGTGAGAGAGTGTGAGTGTCTGCATGTGAGAGTGTGTGTGTGTGTACATGAGAGTGTGTGTGCGTGAGAGCGTGAGTGTATGAGTGCGTGAGAGCGAGTGTATGAGTCTGAAAGTGTGAGTGTGAGTGTGTGTGCATGCACATGAGGTGTGAGGTGCATGTGAGAGTGTGTGAGTGTATGTGAGTATGCGGTGTGTATTTGAGAGTGTGTGTGTGTTCGTGAGAGCGTGCAGAGTGTGAGTTGTGTGTGCACGCACGCAGTGTGTGTGTGCATGAGTGTATGAGTATGCATGTGTGTGTACATGAGAGTGTGTGTGCGTGAGAGCGTGAGTGTATGAGTGTGAAAGTGTGAGTGTGTGAGTGTGTGCGCACGCACATGTGTGTGTGAGTGTGTGTGAATGTGTGTGTGTGAGTGTATGTGAGTATGCGTGAGTGTGTGTGTACATGAGTGTGTGTGTGAGCGTGAGTGTATGAGTGTGAAAGTGTGTGAGTGTGAGTGTGTGTGCACGCACATGAGTGTGTGAGAGTGTGTGTGAGAGTGTGTGTGTCCAATCAAGTACACCAAAGGCCCTTGCTTCCCTAATACAGGAAGGGGGTGATAGGATCATCATGACCAGTGCTTGGTTGATGGTGGGGGTGAGGGGGTAAGGATTTTAGGCAAAAGGAATCATCTCATGTGAAATATGTCCCTTCTGCCCTCTGAGCCTCCTAAAATACAAACATCCGGTATCCCATGACTTAATCCTCTTTCCCTGCTCGGGAGATCTTTGCTGTCTTGCTATCCTATAATTTAATAATCCTCTCTTTTACTTAAGACAGGTTTTCCTAAGAGTCTGTACTCTTCAGATAAGCCAGAAGGTCAAAGATAAAGACATCTTCTCCTGGAAGTTCATCTATTAGACACTTGGAGTGACGTCATGGCTCCCTCTATGCTCCTACCTTCAAAGACTTGAACGACAGCAAGATGAGGCCCCAGAAGTTCAAGGCTGAGCTGGGAGTCAAGGGCACCGTCCAGTCAACTACTAAGGACTAGGGTGCCTTTGAACGAGATGGTATCTCTGGGCCTCGCTTACTTATCCACAGAAAGGGAAGGTGGACTAAATCATCCTTAAAGGCACTTCTAGCTCTGAGATTCTCTAAGTCCTGCTACGGGGAAGGAAACCAACCCACAGTTGGCCCCGCTGTGTGGCTGTGACTCAGAAAGGGGCTGCTGGCTGAGCAGCACTGACTCAAAGGGTGCAAAGGCAAGGGAGGCAGCAGAAGCAGGATGTGGCCCCTGAGGTCACGGGAAACAGCCTTCCTGGTTAAAACAAAACACAAAGCCAGCCGCAGTTGGAGCAGAGAAGTGGCTGTTCAGGTGTGAGAGGGCAGGGGAATGATGGGGGCCTGACCAGGTCCCCGCTTCCTCGGGATTCTTCCACTTTAAGCCAATTACCTCCAGCTCAGGAGGAGGCAAAAACATCTCTCTTTGGTCCCATTAACTGAAAAGAAATTTGCTTAAGTGACAAGAGATAGGCCCAGTACCAAAAGGATCAGGGTTTTTGGAAGAAGAGATTTCTGGTCTCAGGGAAATTCAGCTTTGTCCCTAAGAGGCTGCCACAGCTTCTCAGGTGCCTCTCCTGGTTCCCTTTCCCCCGACCCTCTCCTGCCCAGGGGCCCACCTGCCCCTGCTCTTTTTGCGCGGACACTGCCATCTTGTCCACTTTTCCAAACATGCCCGGAAGACCCTTGAGAGCAACCCTCACAATGTTTGCTTCCTTCAGAGGTCCAGCCCAGCTCACCTGAAACCAGCACCATCACTGGGCTTTGAGGATGAACACGGACTGAGATCCAAAACCCTGGACCTTGATACCTACGTTTCCCCAAAAACACATTCCTCAGAATGCTGATCCTCCGAGGGCCGTGTGATCAAGTACCCCCAAGAAACACCAACCAGCCTTGGTCATTCCCGTGGGTATGCCCACTTCCAGCATCCTGAAAAGACTTGTGGTTAAACAAAACCAGCCCCATTTCCCCGGTGTACCTGACCACGGGACACTTTTTTGTGGTGTTCCTGCTACTATTTCTTAGGACCCTTAGACTCTGTGGAACCTTTCTCGGGAAGCCGTCCTGCTGCCTCCCTCAACCAAACCCACCTCCAAAGGAGCGCTCCAGTTCTCCCAAGGGAGGGCCTTTCCCGACACACAGGAAGCTGGCCACACCCACTGCAGACCTGCAAGTGGCCACACCCACTGCAGACCTGCAAGGGGGCCTTACTGTTCTCACCATGCAGTCACAGGAGAATCGCCACAAATGCAGACTGAGAAACTCATGGGGAGAAGACGAGGCAAGATTGAGGGGTGAGAAAACCACAGAGGGTCCTGAGGAGGCAGACCTCGTGCTTAGACTCCGAGCCAGAAAATACGAGGCCCTTGGCACATTATCTGTGGCTCTGAAGGATACCTGAGAGCTTCACCCCCATCCCTGGCCCAGAGACTGGCTGGCCCAGATGGCAGGGACCACACCTCCACTCTCTATCTCCCACAAGCAGCTGGCCTAGGAGGGCAACTTTCCACACGCCACCGCTCACTCCACCCACCCAGCGTGCACCACAGGCCCTTCCCTGACTTTGAACTTCAGCTCTCTTCTGCCCCAACTCTCCAGCAAGTTTCCATCCACGTACACTCCTCTGCAGGGGGAGAAAGACACCACAATTTGTTCACCTCACAGGCGAGGAGGCCAAACACTGTTGAACGGTGGGAGAAGGAACAATCTAGATATGGAGAGGCCATTACAAAAGAGGATGGTAGCAGGGGAAAAAAGGAATCCAGCAAAGATTCAGGAAAAACTCAGCATAACTCATGGGGCCTGGAGAGAATCTGTAGAGAATGAGCCGTACATCCAGAATATTGCCAGGGCTGTCCTCTGATCCTTTAGGTTCACAGGCTAAATGCCTTCTTGACGTGAGCGTTTTTCCCAGACTGAGAATATATACAGACAAAACTGACAGCCACTCCCACAGTGAGGGAGGAAGAGGGGGAAAAGTACTAGTTACAATATCTATTTATATAGAAACACAGGCACACGGAGGCATGGATGGCAGCATAGCTACGCTCACTTCCTCCTGCCTGCCCCCGCCCTGCCCACACGCCCCCCCACCCCGCCAACACACACACACACACGAGCTCACGCCCCGGCTCATTGCCACACCATGACTTCACTCCGTTTCCATGAGGTGTACAATCTGGAACAGACCCAACTCCAAGTTCTGAAATGTTCAACCTTCAACCATCAAGAGGAAGCCGACCGCCAGCATCCTTGAGCCAAACCTGCTGCAGCTGAGGCGCACCCTGTGATGATATCTACATGTCATGTATGGCACAGAAAATAAGAGAGCCCTCAAGGCCCCAAAGCTACACCACTGGCGAGTGGGCATCTAGCATCTATGCCACTGTCACGTGGGTGTCTAAAGGCCACATGAAGACTGCATGACCCTGTACAAGTCACTCCGTTTCTTCCTTGTTACAAGAAGAATAACCTAATAATCTGTGTATAATGCCTGCGGTTTTAATGATTTAATTCTAAAGTTCCTAGCAAAGTGAAGAATAGCACTCCTGAGACAGAAAAGGTAATTGCAGAGAATAAACAGAATCAAGACTCTCCCTCTTCTGGAGAGAGAGCAGTAAAATTCTTAAGAGAACTTTCTCTTCGGTGGCATCCTAGAACAAACCTCCCAAGAACAAACCCTCAACATAGAGGTACCCCAAGCTCTAGACTTCTCTTTACCCTTAACCAATAAAATTTCTTTCCACAGAGTTTTATTAAGAACATACAATGGGCAAAATCTCACACAAGGCGCCGAGACAGATTTCAAGGTAGGCAAGGCCTGACATCCCGTTCTTTTCCCTCCCCTGGAACTCTATTCCTTGCAAAAATAACAGCCAGTTAGTCTGATTAAATGACAGCAACGTGTTGCTGGCTGATCACATATTCAGGTATTATTGCCCTGCGTGGGTATCAGGTGCTGCTATTAATAGAGGCTCGAGAGACCTAGAACAGTGATGATTTGGGGAACACCGGCAGGTGGTAAGGCTGGATATTTGAGGGCCTTACAACATTGGTTTCAATCAGCTCTGAAGCACCATCTCACATGTGTCTCAGATTCCCATTAGAAACATCCCTGGCAAATCCACTCAGTATACTGAAGCCAGGAATGTCAAATTCTGGGACCGTGTTTTCTAAGGCACCATCAAAAGAAAGAAAAGCATATGAAATAGACAACTAACAGAGTTGGAGAAACTCTGCTGCAAAATAGAGGCTTGTTTAAAAGGTAGGTGTGTTTTTTTAGCTTGGGGGGTTGGGAGAAAGGTAATTTAGGGTTAGCTCATGTCAACGTGCTGCTCCAGAGGGAAGTAAAACCACAGAGAGTAAACCTTGCCCAAGGCTCCTGTAAATATAGAACGATCCCACACTCCCACACGTTTAAAGCAAGCAAACTATAGTAATTAACTGAGAAAAAGCAAGCTTTGGACCTGCCTCCCTTTTGCCACAGGGAATGGCTGGGGGTGTGGGTTGAATTCTGATAGCCTCGCCAAAGTGGGGCAAAATAAGGAAGAGCCTCTTTCCTCAGCTACTCCACCGTTGTCCCAGCTCCCTTTCTGGGACCGCGCCATCCCTCTATATGCCTTGCCAAGCATCACAAGACCTGTCACCCATGTGGAATCGCTAACAGAGTACCAGGGAACCCTGAAAGCTCCTCACTGGCCTTATTCTCTCATGGCTTGAACAAGTTCAGGTTCTAGCCTCAGTGACCTCTAAGCCACACAAGCCAACTGTCATGCGGGTTCTCCAGGGCCCACAAGGTCCCCTCTCCCAGGGCCAGGCCAGAATAGTCTAGGCAAAGATATGCAGGTGTTCTAAGTCTTGCTGATGCTAAGGAAGCCAGCCAGTTCCTCATTCCCTAAATGGTCCTACAATATCATAATAACCCTAGCATACACAGTAGACTTCAGACCTTTTTTATTGAGCAGCAAAATACTTCCCCCTTCAAAGGAAAAATTACGTGAAACCCCAATACATTAAAGATATAAGTGCATACCACCTTTATCATAAGTGTCTTATAAAGTCAACACACTGGTTAAAACTTGAAACATAATGAGTTAAAATTTCATTTAACACATTTGAGAAATCATGGTATACCTTTTACAGTCTTAAAAATATTGAAAAGAAGATATATTTCTAAAAATAAATTCAAACCAAAGGTTGTCAATTTTTTTTTTTTTTTTTTTTTTGAGACGGAGTCTCACTGTATCGCCCAGGCTGGAGTGCAGTGGCCGGATCTCAGCTCACTGCAAGCTCCGCCTCCCGGGTTTTTACGCCATTCTTCTGCCTCAGCCTCCCGAGTAGCCGGGACTACAGGCGCCTGCCACCTCGCCCGGCTAGTTTTTTGTATTTTTTAGTAGAGACGGGGTTTCACCGTGTTAGCCAGGATGGTCTCGAACTCCTGACCTCGTGATCCGCCCATCTCGGCCTCCCAAAGTGCTGGGATTACAGGCTTGAGCCACCGCGCCCGGCCCAGGTAGTCAATTTCTAAAGCACCTCTGAGGATGAGGTTTGAGAAACACTATCCTAACTCTTAATTACATTACCCTTTCACTGCTGAAGCTAAAATTACTCCCACTAAAGTGCCTGACTTTTTTACATGTTGGAATCAAGTCTAAAGGAAAGTAACAACTCTATTTTGATCAACTACATTTGAATTCCACACACCCCCCACCCACGTGAAGTTATACTGTAATTGTTATTTTGGTCCTCTTCACGTCTTAAGAGGCCTCCCTCAAAGTGGGAACGGGAAGGAGTATTTCCTTATTAAATATCTGTTCTTCTTTCCTATCTGAGTAACTTGTTTCATTCGGTAGAGGGAATGGCTATTTTTTGCCTTTGGGTGCAAGCAACCTAAATTTTTTTTTTTTTTAATGAGAAGGAAGAAGTATTCTTCAAAGAACACGATTACTGTTTGATCTTCCTTGTAAGGTTGGTGCACCTTCAGACAGAGCTGTAAAAACTAGAGCAAAAAAACAGAGGTAACACTGGTTTAAAGCTTCATCCAAAATATTTTCATGCGAGACACTGACGCCAATGTATCTATGTGGTATAGCACAACATGTACATTGTAATGATATTTTGAAAGCATTCAACAGAGCAAAGATTTTCTACCTAATAGCACTACTAAATAGCATCCTTTCAATTTCACAGCTGGAGAAACTAAATCCCACTCATCATCCAGGGTTTTGACAAGGCTCAAACTAGGCTCCACTCACCCTGCCAGATGACCACCGCCTCAGAGAGACACCTTCACAAACAGCCAACATTGACAAACAGGCATGTGATCTGGGCTCAAAAGGACTTCAGTCTATTCGTGAAGACATGGTTCCCATTCTAGCTAATAAATCATCATCATCCTCATAGCAAGGATTTGCTAAAAGTGAGCTGCTGTTATTATTATCCTGGTTTGTCTCCCTCTTCATGAGCTAAATTTCAGTAGCATCTACCTCTCTTAAGCATTCTCTCCCACAGAAAATCATTAAACAGACGAACGAGTATAACAAATGTCTGTGCTCGATTCTTGGCAGCAATTAAGATACACATATTATGCTTCCTTAAGAAATTACCATTTAGATACACACAGCTTCTGCCAACAATATTTCTAACCAGCCTTGTGAGAGAAAAACTACACATTTAAAGCAAAGACAAATGTCATCTGAGCTTGCTTTATATTCTTCTCATCACTTCTCTAACCACTAAACTATGGGTTAGTCAGTTAACAACAAAAGCAGAAAACAAAATAGACACATATAACCTAAGCAAAACTACAAACTATCCCAACTATCTCCCCTGCAACTGTTAAGAATGTGTTTCTATGCCTTCTCTTTAAGGCATCTGAAAACAGATCCTAGATCTGAAATCCCACGCAGTGGAAATTGCAATCAGCCATGAATGGGCACTCTCAGACCTATTCTAGCAGAGTGAAGCTGTTGCTTAGAAAGGAGCTGTTCTTTGCCACAGAGCTGCAGTGACACACCGTCCCAGCTTTCTTTTCCATGGGAGAATCTGTATTTGATGAATAACTTGCTCCACGCCCCAGTAAAAGGAGACATATTTAAGTTTGGCCTTAGGAATTGAGACAAATTTCCAGAATGTAAACACTTCGCTTTGAAACTAAAAATGAACCTGTTCATTAGGAACAGAGTCCAAAAATTCTAAGTGGAAAAGTAACAGTACTTTCTTCCATCCCCTTTCACCTCAAAAGCTGCAGCTTGGTCTAACTCTCTGGCAATGCTGCCAAGGAAACTCAAGCTGGAACTCAGCTTTCTGAGTCAAACCTTGACCAGGGTGGTGAGCGCATTTATCCCTTTGCAGAAGGGCAGCTCACGTTCAAGTCTAGCCCCGAATCTTAGGCCAGGAACAAGGAAGAGTTCCAGGTTTCAAAATAAGAGAATCACAAGGAAAGGCCATCACTTTCACGTCCTGAGTCAAGGGCAGCAAAAGGAGTGACATTCATGCCTGTAACCCATCTAGGGATTAAAGGTTGAAGAACAACAGAAGAGTTTAAAATTGACTTTGCACTTTGAAAAACAATAAGTAATTCTGGATTTGAAACCAACAATCATGTAATACTAAAAAGGCACCCAATTTGCTGTTTGAATCCTCCCAGGACATGTGAGCTCCTGGGAAAAGCTGTCTCTTTTTTGTTGTTGTTGTTGTTGTTTTGTTGTTGACAAAGTTGTTCAGGACAAAGAGACCCTGA